GTTTCTCCATCTTTCTTTTGTACAGCATTTCTGTCCCCCACTCTCTCTGCCTTTCACACAAGTAGAAGAAATCTGGGTGGAGAAGCTCCTCTAAACACCTTGTTTTTCCCTCTAGAATTCCCAGATGAGACAAAGAACCTACTTGCATTGTTGTTTCAGAACTTCCCATTGGTTGGCCCGTCGGCTGCCAGCAGAGCTAGCAGCAGAGACAGCGAGGAGGAGGTGGAGGGAGAGCCTGGGCCAGCTTCAGAGCCTTTTGAAGGCTCCGATAAGGAAACAGCATCAGAGACAGAGGCAGAGCTGGGGCCTTCCATCCTTCCCCAGGTGGAGAGGCCTGAGCTGAGTGAGGAACAGATGGGGCCCATCCCATATGTGCATATGTGTAGAGAGGAGAGGAGAGCAAAGGAAAGCAATAAGCCGGATCTCAGGGAAAAACAGATGTAGATGCTAGCCAGCTCCTCCCTGGCTGGGAAATAAATAGTAGGGGTTTGGGAGTGGCCGGTTGTCACAGACAATTGTTCGTTTTCTACTATACAGCAAGCAATTCGGATTCCTTGGCCAGAACCAGATTTGTTGGAACTAATTATGTTTGGTTTTTGTTAGCCACTTGAATAAAAGACTGTTCCTGCCCTGTTTTGAAAAGGGGTTTGTTTTCCTCATGAGTAAGCAGTTTAGCATTACTTGCAAAGGCTGGGTCAAAACACCCATTAACAATAAGATGGCAACAGAATCCTGACTACTACGGGTGATCCCACTCTCTTCTCATACATGGAAAAATGGAAAGCCCAGGTAGGACTTTCAAGAAAGCCTTTTTCCCCCTCCTAATCTTTCTGAAATATATCTGTTGACCTCAAGGGCCCTTCTTTCTTAAGCTTATTCTGTTGGTCTAAGATTGTGAAATAGACACATAGGTAGATAAACAGATAGACATTCCATTCATGTATTATACATATATTTAAGCCCTGTGAGAGGTAGATACTGTAAGGTAGGAAGGTAGATAGACATACATACATACATACATACATACATACATACATACATTCCATTTATGTGACATATATATATATATATATACACACACACACACACACACACTATATATATATATATATATATATATATATATATATATATATATATATATATATATATATATATATATATATATATATATATATATATATATATATATGTAGGTCTTTGGTTATTCGGGTCTTCTCCCACGTAAAATTGGAAGTGTCTTGGTGACGTTTCGACGAATCCAATGGCTCCCTAGGACACACTATATACCAGAAGAAAACACACACAAACCGCTATCTGCACACACTCTCACACCACCACCCTGCCCAGATCAACTCTGTAGCCAAGACACTCATTTCCAGAACAAAACACTTAGCTGACGAACAACACCTAAAAACCGAACTACACACCCTCACTAACGTACTCACATCCAATGGATTCCAAAAAAATAAGATCACCAACCTAATCCAAAAAGAAACCCCCACTAAAATCCAAGACAGAGAACAAGAAAACGGCAAGGCCCTCCTCCCATACATAAAAGGCACCACAGACAGAATAAGCAAAATCCTCCACAAACATAACATCAAGACAGCATTCTGCACAAACCGAAAAATATCCACCATCCTAAGAAACCCCAAAGACAAAATTGAGTTAGAAAATCAAGGAGTATATGAAATCCCATGCACCGCCTGCCCCACCACATACATCGGACAAACCAACAGACGAATAAGTGCACGCATAGAAGAACACAAGAACTCACTCAGAAAAGAGGAACCAACTTCTTCCCTGGTCCAACACCTTAAAGCCACAGGACATGATATTGACTTTAAAAAGACCAGAACTATCGCCAAAACTGAACACTTTAACAACAGAATAATCAGAGAAGCCATCAAGATAGAAAAACGCCCACACAGCATGAACAAACAAGACGATACCTCCCGCCTACCAGCCATTTGGAAACCCGCCCTTATTGACAAACGAGTCCCTAACATGACGAATGACACCAGACCCACACTCACGAGAGCCACACAGGATGTCACCACCACACATCCACGCAGAAAACAGACTCAAACCCACACTGATAATGAGCCACGACCAAGGACCAGAAGCCAGACCGCAGCTGCATCATTAGCCACTTTAAACCCCTCCAATCCATACATGAAGCAGACTGACACCCACCATGAAGAGCTCGCACGGCCACAAACACGAAGCCAAACAACAACAACGCAGCTCACCAGCTCAAATCCCCCTGCAACTCAGACTAAGCTGAGCACAACCAAGCCCCCACCCAAACAGAACACACCCCCAGCCAATCAGAGCACAACCAACCCCCCATCCAATCAGAGCACAGCCAAGCCCCTAACCAATCAGAACACACCTCCACCCAATCAGAACACAGCCAAGTTCCCACCCAATCAGCTCACACCCCCACTAGCAGTTAAAAGGAAGAGACAGCTGCGATCTCACATTGCTCCTGGAA